CCCAGCTGGATGTTCTGTGTAACGGGGAGATCATGGGGAAGGACCACACCCTGGAATTCATCTACCGAACCCGCTGGAGACTGCAGGGCGACACAGTGAGTGTGTGTGTGTGTGTGTGTGTGTGTGAGAGTGTGTGTGTGTGTGTGTGAACAGTTACCAAGGCTAAAAGGGAAAGTCGATATGTGATTGGCTGACACACACACTGTAAAAACAGAAGTGCAAAATTAAGTACAGGCTTAAAGGATGTGTGTAATAATTATTTTAACCCCTAAACACACACACACACTCACACACACTCACACACTCACACACACACACACACACACACACTCACACACACTCACACACTCACACACACTCACACACACACACAGCTGTCAGTGTGGGTGGGAATGACAGTAGCAAAAGCTCCCCCCAGCCACTGACAGCTCTGTGACTCACTTTTCTCCAGTTACAGACAGGAAAGCACAACACACACACACACACACACACACACACACACACACACACACACGATCCGAAAGTGGCTTTGCATAAATGGTTTCGTGTCCTTAACTAACCTTGTGAGAGAGTGAGAGACAGAATAAAAAAAACAGAAAGAGAGAGAGAGATGAAGTGGAAGAGACAGGAAGTGACACTAAAGGGGGCGGGGCTTCACTATGGCTATTTTTTTAGCATTGTAGTACATGCAGGATTGTATTAGTGTGTTAGATTGTGTTCAAAATAATTTCTTCTAAACATGGATATACAGTTCAAGCAAATAAAAAAAAACAAACATCACAAAGTTACAACGATTATTCGCTATTTTACACACTCACACGTCACGTCAATCCGCACCTGACACGTTTCTGCTACGTTTCCGTACGTGCTACAGATTCAAAATATTTCCCATGAGCACTATTTCCCAGTTATTTGAGAACTTGCACTCTAAAAAACAAAACAACAACAAAAAAACCCTTGTAAATTCTCTAATTAATTCTGTTATCAGTGTTGTGTGGAACTGTAATTAAATTACTTCTGTAATTAATTAATTTAATTACAGTTACTAATGATGTACTTGCATTACATACTGTACAGACTTTCAGCAATTCTTTTGAAATTTAGATTATAAATTTATCTTCTAAAGATTTTGTTTTATAGTTTAACCCGACCTCTTTAAATTCGTTAGCTGTAGGCGAGTTCGCGTGCGTAAGTTCGCATCAGGTGGCCGTGAAGTCGCTCGAGTTGAAGGATGTGAGCAGAAAAATGAGTCTGTTTTGCTAAATGGAAATATTCCCATTACTTCATTTGTTTTGAAACATGTAGACAAGAACATCTCAGTAAAATGTAAGTTATGTCCTGCACTGTAATAAATTGCAGTAAATTTTACAGTAAAATTTTACAGTATACAACTGTAAACTACATTTAGAATAAAGTGCTGTAATATCTTAATGTTCTTCATGTTAATATAAATATAAAAATGGCACATAACCCAGCACAGTTGCTCTTTTGGCTGATGCAGGATACAGCTGAGTTGAAGGTTATGAGTCTTAGCCAAACATGAGAGCTTGGCAGTAGTGGGATTTGAACACACAACCTCCTGAGCTGTGACTCAAAGCCTCAACCACTGAGCCACCACAACTAGCTTGCACTGATTCAACTACTTCTAACACTGAATTAATGCCACTAAAACATTGCAACGAATCAGTGCACGCTAGCTGTGGTGGCTCAGTGGTTACGGCGTCTCATTACAGATAAGAAGGTCATGTGTTCGAATCCCAGCACCACCAACCTTCCTTGATTGGATCCTTGAGCAAGACCCTTCAGCTCAGCTGTATCCTCCATCAACACACTGGGTCATGTGTTATTTTCTACTATGTAGTACTTTACTGTACATATGTTTTACAGTTGTTTACTGTAAATTTTACAATAAAGTAAATTACTGTAAAATCTACAGTACATTTTTTACAGTGTACAGTTTTATTATAGCTTATTGAGTTTTCAACAGGAGCTGCTTTTGTTTTTAATAGCTCTTATTCTTAAGCCAGTTTCTATCATTTGTTTACACTTTTGGATTAAAAATGCTTTAATAAAGCTTAACAGACTCAACTATTCCCGGTTTGACTCAAATTTAAAGAATTAAAAGAAGAGTTTCATTTCTACTGTCCATGTGGTCAAGGTTGATACGGATTTTAAGAAGTAATTAGTCATGAGTAACGCAATTACTTTTCAGAGTAATTAATGAGTCATTTAAATAAAACGTTGATGATTAGTAATTAGTAATTAATTACGTTTTTTAAAGTAACTTACGTAACTTAAGTGGGAAATAAAAAGTGTGAAAACAGGAAACATTACGTTAAAACACGGCACATTTTTGAGACAATCCTTTTACAAATCTCATTACTGTCTAATGTCCCTCGTGGAAGTATGAATCATTTCTGACTCTCGCCGGAGAGCAAAGCAAACAAACAGCGTTTTATTCACATTAAATTGTTTTGTAGCGTGTTAGATTTAACGCTTC